TATATATATATTTATGTATTGCCCACAGCATGTCTTGCACAACTTTCCTCATTTAAAAGTCAAAGTACATGCACAATCTGCAAGAGGTCTTGCATGCGGGGGTGGTTCTGGAGGCACGAATTTGCTGGTTGTTCCAACACCCAGTGCACCTTCCTCCAACAGCAAATCATGATAATCAGAACCTGGGCTTGATGAGATGAATCAAGCAGTTGTCTTCAATCAAAAATCGACAAGTCAATGACATTACAATACATACATACATACATACAAACATAATCCAAACAAGGAAACCACACGACTTGCCAGTAGATTTCCGGTGGCCACGTAGTCGTACCCCTGATTGCCCAGCCAGTCATTGAAGCAATCGCGAGCTGACGTGCCCCTTGACCTAGCTAGGTTGGTGCTGGTTCGAACACATATTTGTTAAACCTCACCGCCAGCACAACCATTTTTAGTTCCAAGATACATGGCCGAGAAAGAATTGCAGCAAATTGCAATCACCACCACGCCGCCAGGTTCCACGTGAAGCACTTCAGACATAGCCAACCTTTGCCGGCCGTTCTTGAGGCGTTGCTGGGATCGATCGACAGGGTGGAAGGCAAGACAAAATTAATCTAACTGGATATGTGGTCAAAGATGAAGTAAACCAATCCAAGATGCAAGAACCCTGTTGTTGTACACATGTCCATAAACCCAGAGGTCAAGAGATCATGTGAAGATCCACGCCATCCATTAACCCTGCGGAGTGCCTGGCTCACTTCGCCCCGCCCAGCAAAAAGCTCCACAAAGTCCAATCTGTCATTCTTAACCTTGGGGTTGTGTATGATCAAGATCACAAGTAGGATCAGCACGGCAGGGCATTTCCATCGCACCATGTCTAAGACCACCATCTTGGCTACACTGCGTTGTATATGGAAAGTTCCTTGCAATATCTTGTCTTGCAACACCTAGATCGAGGGTCTATGGGTCACAAAATGAAATCTGTTGAACATATATTACATATGCATTTGAGCTGAGCCCCAAAATTGCTCCATGCAGCGCACAGCTAGATGTGTATTATTTTGTCACAGACATATTGCTAACATACCGCTCACAGGCACAGGAACCCGTCCACTTTTTTACACCCACTCCTATTAGTAAATTGTTCCAACACACGCCATGCACAATGCCTGAAGTCTTTGTTTCATGACCAGGCACTTAAAGGCATGTGGACCAAGACGATGCATGAATTTTGCCATGGTGTTCTAGTTCCACGGGTTGGAAGTAGAGCCAGCTGGCAGGAACCGCCGACGCACCAACTCGGGCACAGAAAGGCCACCCAGTAGGGCCGCCTTTTCTTTTGAAAGGTTCCAGGCCATGTTGGCCGTTGTATACGACATGCCCTTCTCGCGGGCAGCCTCTATGAACTTCCCCCTTTCCTCCCTGTACACATGCGGTTGATACGTGCTATTCGTAGCAACCCTCTTCTTGGAGTTCGGAGGCCCACTCGCAATCAAAGTCTTTGACTTATTCTTTTTCTTTTGTTTCTTTGCTTTACCCTTTTTCTTCGACTTTGCCTTCCCAGCCTTTGGTTCAACCACAGGCTTTTCATCGTCAGCGCCTTCACCATCATCTCCAAGCTCATCAGCCGCCCGGGCTGCCCAAGCTGACTTGTAGGTGTCAGAGATTTTGAAAGGCTTTGTGGGCTCAGCTTTGGTCATAGCTTCCAACGATTGGAGAACCTGGTGCATGTATATAGGCATCTTGAAAACTGTTATTTATACAAGACATGGTTCAATTCAATGTTCAACGCATATAATTCAGACTTTTGGCAAGTAGCTGATTCCGGAAGAGCTTTTGACCCCTCAGCCTTCTTAGCATGCAGCTTGCTGGTGTTGTCCTCCAAGCCCATCATCTCACGAAGGCCCGCTGCAAGATCTTCGAGTGGCACGGCAGGCTTGGGGCCCAAGGAAACTTGAGGAGTGGCCACAGGACGTCCATCGTGGTGGCATTCACGGGCTGCAGCCACCTGCAATTCCAACCTGAGATGTGCCCACCCGAAATGTACGTATATTGAATTATATAGTTGGGTCCAACCATGCTTTCCTGCAAATGAATGAATTGAATTTTGTAGATATATGTATATTCAAGTTACCTCTGCAGCTTGAGATCTGCAGCATTTAGCTGGATTGGTGCAGGGTCACTGGCACTGGCGCTCAATTCTGACAACTCCTCCAAGCTGTCGACCAATGCCGGCACATCACCATTATCATCATCATCCGGGTGAGCCGGCCAGCGTTCGCCCGCCTCATAGTCCTTATAACTCAAACAACCACTCTGGCAAACTCTGGAAACCAGGTTTGTGAATAGATCTATAAAGAGTTTCCATGTTTTGAAATATACTTAATATATTCTCAGTCCACCCATTAAGGAACATGACCAAGATATTATTTATCCAAGTGGCACACATCCCAGACAAACTCTTCTTCAAATCATCAATCTTTTGATTCCTGCTCGAGGATGCCAGCTGCATGAGTCTGCGGAAGCGGATTACCTTGGCCGGTTTGAGGCATGACCCGGATCGTGTGGGGGACAGTTGCTGTGGAAAGCATTTACCCGGTTCAGACAAAGTACCAGCCGACTTAAAGCACGCCCCATTTTCAAGGACCAAAGGTCAACCGCCGACATTTCTTCCGTCATGCCTTTTGGCAGCAAACGATACTTCTTGTAGAATGCCAAGATCGCTTTTTGTAAAAGTTTGGGACCAAAACGCCCACTGCCGCGTGAAGTTTTCATCACCGCATAGATGGCCTGATCACACAAACAATCAGACAGTTCCCAAGATTGCATGCTTCAAACGCGAGGTATGCACCAAGCAAGTTTTCCCATAACCAATTGACTCAAAGTCACGTTCGTGTTCCCTGCCACATCTTTAAGAGACGGCCGGGTATCAGTGAACAGCTTCCCACTGATATTGACCAGGAATGAGAATCCAACCTTGATCAAAAGACAAGTTGATAGAAACAAATTCTCAATTGAACTTTGGCATGACAATTTCTTGCTCCAATACCTCACCTTTATAAGACAAGGCACATCCTTCAGTGCCTCTTGCTCTCCGAAGGCTGCAGCATACCGGCCAATCAGATCAGTGTCCATGGCTACAGGCTGGGAGCCCCAGGGCAAAATCACCAAGCTACCTATATCGACCATGCATCATGATTGCTATTTATATTTATATAGGATGTGCTAGGTCTTGAAACTGCATGGAGGTAACCGAGGTATATTGGATGTGTTGTTTCCTGCGCAGGTGTCTGGATATTGTTTTAAACGTCCAGTTTGAGCCCCCGCCAGCTGTATCGATACAACCTGAAATCTTTGCTTAAGTGCATACACGTTTCCTCTTCTTGAATCCTCTTCTTGAATCTCCCTTCTTTGAATGGGAAATGTGTACTTCACGATGTTTCGATGAATTTCCAAAAATGGGATCACATGTTTTCTTACAATGAAACGATTCAAGATGATTCAAGTAGATCTAGTCCGCGCCAGCGATCGTTTCCCCACCAACAGCCCCGCGCGTCGACCGCGGTCAAGGCTGGCGGCGCACCACGAAGCCCATCCAGCTGCCATAGTTTGGCCATGTCAAGGCCTGCATGGCCGCAGGTGAGCTGATAATGAGCCCCCACAAAGCTATCCGACCACAAATAAAAAGGATATATAGATAATTCACTCGGAGGTCCCGGGGTGAGCTGATGATAAACCCCACCCCCAAATCCCAAAGCCTATATCAACCCTGTATATACATATATATTATACAACCCACATATTTTCTCACTCGGAACTCCTGTGGCGCCACATGGCTGACAATTGAACCCGAACCCCAAATAGCCCATGAAGCCCCCATCACATTTTCCGCGCTCCAGCTCCAAAGGTCACTCCAAATTGGGATACTCGCGAGTCAGCCGCTGAATCTGCACATTCGCCCGTGAGACAAGAACCATAGAGGTCCAGGCATTGGATATATGTATCTCCTTACAGCCCATATATCAGCATATACTAACATCCTTCAAGAGTACATAGAGCGACCTGTAAAAACTCAAGAAAAATCATTTCTGAAAGAAGTTCCAAGCAGCGAAGTTGCGGGCATTCAGGAGCAGCAATTTCCGATGACATTTCAATCTCTGCTCCACCTCCACAAGTTTCAGATCAAGCATTGGTCAAAACATATGGTGTTGAAGTTTAAAAATCCCTGTTGCGGCGAATTCGGAATTCTAAACCACCACACCTCATATGCTTGCTCTGCCAAAGCCAGGATCTCCTCGGCCGATCTCTTCCTCGACGATGGCGCCACAGGCAAGCGGGGTTGATGGGCAGAGACCGATGCAGCCGCGCTCAACCCCAAAGGTTCCTGACTAAGTGAATGAAAGACTGAATTTAAAAATGATCTCGGTACCTACCTTGCCAAAACACAGAAAATTTGTGATGCTGATATCAAATTAAGAGCTGCTGCTTCCAGCGCCAGGGGAGCTCCGCTAGCAGCCATAGTATGACCAGCCTCCAAAGGCTCTTCACCAGCCGCCTCAAGACCAGCCCCCATCTCACCGCCATCGATCTCATAGTCCTGAGATCAACCGGTTGATCTAGTTAGTATATATAATATATACCCCTGATTCTTTTAAGCCTTTGGGGAACAGAAAATAAAATATGATTGAAATCATTTGAACTCATATCTAGAATCATCCTCAAGTGCTTCTTCTTCGCAGCACTCTTGCATGCCACTACAATCAGCGGCAGCCATTTCCTTATGCCCAAACACTCCAGCAAATCTTGAATACCTGTATATAAAATATACATAAAATACCGCAAACCAACACTCTGAAATGTTTTGAAATATCAGCCCGGTTTCACTCTCCACTTCTGACGTGCTCGGATACGGATCTCCCGCTTCGCCAGGCTCTGCCTTCAGCTCTGCTCCAAAGCTATAGCGCGCGCGCGGCATCGCCTTGGTGCATGGGTGCAGCAGCCTCTGCTGTTCCTGGGATGGCTTGCAAGCAAAACATGACTAAATTGACTAAATATCCTGGAACCCATGCCATAGCAAGATTGTTTTATTTAATATTTCCTTGAAAAACATAGGGACAAATTGAAAAAGATTCAAAGAAACATCAATCTAATGATATCACCCAGCATCCCGAAGATCACGTTGAATCGATAGCGGGCAATCCATCGCGAAGCCCTGCAGACGAGCCTTGATTTTGGGGAGCATCCTAGCTCGAGCCTCACCCTGAAGAATATGCATATAGTTCAGGACCCAGATCTTGGTTCTCCAAACTCTTATTCCCTCAAATAGCTCAGGGCTACATTGGAAATGAGACCTGGATCAAGCCATCCCACCATGAATCCCACCCCGTCGAAGAGACTGCGCCCGTGCTCTGCCTCAAAAAAGTCCATGAGTTGCGCCCGCGCGCCCACGGCCCCCGGCGCACCGGCAAGTGCTAGATGGAACATCATGGAACACGCGTTGTTTATTGTCTTAAAATTGAAACCATGCTTAATGCAAGAGCATGTGACATCATGTGATTAAAACTATATATATGATTGAATGCAACAAAGCCGTGCACCCCGCGCCCACCGGCGCGCCGGAAGAGGTAGATGAACGTGTTCACCATGTTGTCTTGAAAAAATATGAAACATGCGACAACTTTAAGTAGCATGTGATTTGCACCATGGTTCTTGTTCACATGCAGTGTTCTGAGAAATTACATTCTTTTATTTAAGGAACCATACATATGGACATCTTCTTAAAAACATGATGCTGCGATATCTGGCGAGCGGACGACGAGTTAAACGAGGTTACATTTCCAGAGTTCAACCGGCCCAAAAACAGGACTCTCTCTATATATATATATGTATAAATATAAAATGTCTATATATATTTTATCCGTATATATCCCTATGTTCGGGCAAGAACAATTTGGTTTGTTGGGTGTTGGGAACCTGTGTGAATTTAGTGTTCTTACATTGTTCTTGCCAGTTTCTTCATGCATCTAATCACCTGTGCAAAAATCACTGTGTGATCTTCATTTTCTCTCCACAAAGAACAGTGCCAGAAAAATCACGGCATTTCACGTACATTTGGCCTGTGTCATTTTACACGTACATGCTGAGCAAATGTACCACGTACATCTAACAGCTGTACATTTCCATGTCTAGGAACGTGATTCGGGATTCGCGTTTCGTGATTCGGGATTCGCGAATCACATTTTCGTGATTCGGGG